ACACTTGTATGTTTCGCGCATCGCAGCCTTAGCCGAGGCCGCGTATAGCCACGATCCCAGCATCGGGCTGCTGAAGCAAAGAACGCCGTTAATCCTTGCTCCCTTTCCACGCTATCCTTCTCGGCATAACCTCTCCGTAAGACAAGGCGGCGCCCTGGTCTCGCTACCTGGACCATGCGTGAAATGCGACAGGGCTCAGGGCTTTTTCTCTGCGCTCGCGCCGCAAAGAGACCCACGAAGCCACGCAGGGGGCTGATTCTCGGAGCGGTTTCGCCGGCAGGCCGAGCTGTGGTGCGTGAACTCTCAGGAGATACTACCTGCCTAGCGACTTCTGCAAGCCCGTCGCACTCTCGCTCAGCCCTTTATCCTTAGTGCGAGCAGTGCTAGGTTAATTCCATCCCTGTGTGTTTGCACTTTGGCGCGCGGAAAGTGATCTCCTACCGGTGTAGGCACCTAGGGCACTGTGATTTGCAAGCCACTTGCTGCTCTAGTCTGCTAGACCACGAGAGCGCTCCAAAACGAAGCACTTCGCACAATAAGGCCCTTGGCTCGCACGAGTTGTGGTCGGTCTACAGCGGCCATGGACTCAGAACGAAGTGGAACGAGTTCCCAGGTCGCTCTGGGAATACGGTTCAACATGGCGACGACGCGCGAACTTTTCGCTTGACTGCTCAGAACTGGAGCGATGACCGACCTTGGCCGCGAAATCTGCGTGGCCTGCTAGCGCGCTACGCTGGCGCGATCACTACGCGGGGCTGTAAACGCTCTCTGTCGACAAGCACGCTAGCGGCCACGACATAGTACGGATTTATGATGTTCTCGCGTATAGACATTGTTATATGTGTACGTCACATTTTTTAGATTCTACGACGACGACATGGTATAAGTATCTGTCGACTGTCAGTACATATAGTACGTGCACACATATGTTACCTGAGAAGGATCGTTATTCCTCCGGTCACACTGCATACTACATAGCTCTCATCAAAAATAATACCGTAGGTACTCTGCTAGTACATCATTCAGGAGTGGTGCACGGTCAACAAGATATTTTCGCACACAGCGCATGCAGCTAGGGGCCTGATGGCCTGAGTATCAATAAATTGCATGACACTATCCCTATTGTGCTGTAATTAGTGGTATCCTGTAGCTGAGCCTCTTGTGCTTGACCTTGTATAAACGAGGCATAATGAGGCGCACACTATAGGAGGTTGTCCGTAGCGTGGGGCCTGACGGAGGCCCGTGCAACGCCGAAATTCTCCGCGGCTCTTTAGCCACAGCACTTGACTTGGGGATGTAAGGTCTGGCGCAGTGATACGTGGCTATTATACTCTATCACAAATCCGGCCTTTCGGTACGGTAAGTTTACATGGGCTCTCTGGACCGATAAGTGATATCCTGAAAAGCTCGGGCATCTCGGCGCATTAAAACTTTGACACGCTCACTCACAGTAGTGTGATTTATAGGATTACAGAAGGCGGTTTCCACGGGAAGCCTCTTGATATGTGAATGCTACGATGCATATTTAGTGTTGATTAGGGAGCTGTCTTTTCCATATTATCGTTAGGCACGCGCTACCCCTATATACTCATATAGATGACTAAGTGAGTGGTAAGCTATGCTGACTTATTTTTATTCTTCCGATCTATCTTCGCTGTCAGGTAAGATTGCTAAGATCTTCTGTCACTTGTTAGTAGTTGATCCTTTGCACGTAGTGGAGAGGAGAGCGCTATATCTTACCGACCATTCGGGACTTGAGCAAGTGCTCGCCAGATGAGAACGCAAGAAAAAGGACGCACACATGTAGCTCCTTCATACGTTGCCTCGTCTAAAGCGAGTCGAGGGGACTCGCTGGTGGAGTGCGCGCAGGCGCAGCTACCGTCAGACTGGGCCGAGGACGCACGACCCGGCGTTCCGCCCGATGAATCGACGCGCGTCGACACTTAGCACGCACGACGCTCGTCATGCAGGCGTCATCTTATATGCTCACGCCCTTGATCGCGCTACTCTAGCTGCGAGTGCCCGCAGCGTCTGCTAGTGCACCAATCCCGCTTCGCACTCAGCGCTGCAAACGCCGCAGGTACGTACGAGTCGCGGATGGTTGCCCACGGTGCATATCTTTCCCTCAGCGGGCATCAGAACGACGAGGCTGCGGGGAGGATCATTAAGCGCGGCGGAATGACGGACCGGACCTTCAATTTTCCTTAATTTACTTTATCATGTTTATATTATATTCTTATTAAAATTATCTTGTATATGTATTTTGCTTAATTATGTCCTCTTAAATTGGGTCCGCGACCTGCCTTGAGCTCACGGAGGGGCTCTACTTCTTGCCCACGTACTATAGCACGCGTCCTCGGTCAACTCTCGCATGGACAGAAACTTAGAAATAAACTGCCCGACGCAAAATTAGGGGCGATTGAAATACACCAATCTTGTTTTTGACTATCGTTCCAATATAGCGCTCTTAACTACAGGCAAACCCGGGATTCCACCAAGTACAGGCCAAAGGTACAGGAATATATATATGAATGTGACTTCGCATATGATTGCTCCGCAGCGCGTGTCATGAACGAAGTATGTGCGTGTTGTCGTGTATAGGCCCATATTTTTCGTGTCTTCGCTATGTTATGTGTGTGTCAGTATAGTCCCTATGTCATTCTCCTCGGTCGCTGGTCGTCGCGTATTTTATTGGTGCCGTGCGTCGTCTATTATTCTCCGTTGTGAGACTCGCTGTGATGCCGTGTTATTCTTTTGACCTTGCCATCTTCCCCTCCTCTCTCTCTTCACCCTCTCTACTTCTTTATCTTCTCCTCTCCATAGCTCCTCTACACGTCACCACCTACCCACACACAAATGCGCACACCCCAGCACCACTAATACGAGCCACAGTTTAATGGCGAAAGAATGTATTCACGTAACATGACAGCAGACGACCATCAGCCAATGACCACGATGTTCCAGTAAGCGTCTGCAATAAGCGCTTATTCAAGACAATCTATAAGTAAATTCGACAGCTCTACGCCCGACACTATACTACTCCTGCGCTCTATAATTTAAATCAGCGCAATACCATTCCGATTCCTAAACCATACTCATCATCCTCGCTATTCTATCTGAATCTATAGACACTAATCTTACTCGTTCTTAAAATGCTGTCCTTTAAGCCGATCTATTATCTCAAGATTCTGCGATCCATATAATCGATCAATATCCATTCGGACTTAACACATCTACAATACCAAGGTTCCAATCAGACATAGTCGCCAAGTAGCACCGAGGTTGGTCGCATCATGCAACTAAACATACCGCTATGCAATCACCAGGAACCACAGAAGAAGACAATACGAGACGCAGAAGAGAGCAACGAAAATAGACGACCAGCACTAGGTCTCTCGTACTTTCGTCGATCTCCGTTCTCGTAGTTTAACTTGCTCTGCGCTTCACGACGAGATCATCACCCATATCCTTAGCCCCATACAAGGAAGCCAACGTTCCAACACAACCCACAACGACAAATACAGGTATCGAGAAAGCGCGGGCGGGTAGAGAGGGCAACGATTTAGATTCGCTCGCCCAACGCAAGGAGTTGAGATGAAGTCACTCTAATGCACTCTCACAATGATTCTTCCAGTACTCTTCCCACTCATCACATCTCGAACACCACTCTATACTATGCCAAGCGTTCCGCTCTTGAAGCGTAGGGCCTCCTACTCAGGGCAAGAAGGGCATCAAATCATCACCCGCAGACAGGACCCGGCCGGTAGGCGTCACCGCTTTCTCTCGTCCAAGTTGGCCTGTACACATGCTACAACAACTAACTCATAATAGGCTCACCGAACTTCTCTAGTATCGCGTCCAAACTCAATACAGTATGCTCTGTATAATGTCACACTAATAGCTACACACAACAGATACACAACACCACCCGACACCGCGACCACACAACACAAACACAACAAACACCCACACACAACACACAACCACACACCACACCACACACACACACACACCAATATATAACTAATACACACCCCCTAAATAACCACCAAATAATAATATACTAAACCAATACACCAATGGATAACGGAACACCATAACCATATATATGTATGTATGTCTGTATGCCATATCACTAGTATGAATACTATATAACTGAATACTAGCATCATCCTGCAATACATTACACCACAACCCCTTTCCTTCTCAGACTAACTCTCCTACTAAGTCAATAATATACTTCTCCGATAACTATCGTATATGATGCTATGAGAACACACCCAAACTCACACATACAAATCGAATACACTAACTCATACTAGTATAAAAATAAATAATACGATTATATGGTACTACCAACAGTGATGATGTGTGCTGCTAGTAGATAAGATGTAGTTAGTGATGTGATAGTGATGCTACGTGCATCTCACTAAACATATGCAATACAAACCAACACACAACAACACACACACACACACACAAACACACACACAAAATACCACACACACCACTAATCACACAAACACACACAACACACACACACACACACACACACACACACACACACACATCATATATTATAATATATAGTTATTAGTAATATATATATATATATACGTAGAAAGTTAGGTAGTAGATATAGGATAGTGTATGCTATGCTATACATATATTCATGCTCACACCGTTCCCTCGATAAAGGAATAATGGCTATATTTAGGTTGTCTAATCTCCCACCAGACAAAATACAGATCCCATTTGTCTTCCAAGGGAATCAAAGAAAAAAAATCTCCAAGTAATTTGGCATAAAAATTTATTCTCAAGAACTAGAATGAAAACTCGAATCTAATCGAATTCCAATGAGCTTGAAGAACAAAAGATAGAGTAACATCTTGCTACCATATCCCTGTGGCAGAGGAACAGCACGCAGACACCGTTCCCTGCCAGAGGAGACGACAGGGTCCCTCACGACATCCGGTACCTGGCAGTAAACCCGGGGTCGCTCACAAGTCGCTGTTCTCGGGGAGGTAGTTGCCGCTGCCGGACCTGTCAACCGCGATGTAAAAGGCCTCGCAGTCGGGGTTATTGACTTGCACGTCTCTGAACTGCAAGGTCACTTTCTTGCCTGCTGGAGCCTGGGGGAGAAGGACGTGCGATCGGATATGTTGGTATATTGTCGTGTATCAAGTATGGGTCTCACTTCTGTGCACATTTTGGTAACATGCAATATGTATTTCATATACTTCTATATATAGCATAATGTAGCTTAACTTGACATTATTTGCACAAACAAATGTCCAAGCAGACGCACCTTCACACGCACAAATATGTATGGTGTTTTGTGCAGTCATTCACATACATTGTAAATGTCTGTGCATATACACTGTGTATACAAATATTGATATATATGTGTGTGTGTGTGTGCATAAATGTGTATTTTAGCATGCGTAATTTGTATTCAGTATATACATTGGCAGACTACTATTTTTTTTTTTTAGCAACTAATGGATTGGCGCCACTTTTAATGGGGATGGAATTACGAGATGGTGCCTGATTTTACCACAATAAATACATTAGTTCCCTGAGTTGCAACATAAGGCAATGAGTGAGCCAAACCACCAATCAAAACCTATAAGTAACGCAATTAACCCTCCGCCATTGACACTGTACATTCTTTCCTTTTGCATTTTACTCGATGGACATTGCCTTCCTCTCCTTCCCCTCGGCTCCTCATATCCTCGTCACAGCGTGGGATCCTTTCATCCTAATCTTTCCCCGAATCCCTCCGGTTCAGATCAAATGTCTATGGCATCCGCTACTAATACCTGTACCATGATCACAGTCCCCTAGTTGTAGGGAGTGTCAGCGTGAGAACCAAGGGAGGTGGAAAAAAAGACGGCAATATAAATATACGTGTGTGTGTGTGTGTGTTTGAGTGTGTGTGTGTGTGTGTGTGTGTGTGTGATGTGTGTGTGTGTGTGTGTGTGTGTGTGTGTGTGTGTGTGTGTGTGTGTGTGCGTGTGTGTGTGTGTGTGTCCTGTAAAACCACACGCCCTACGTACCACAATCCACCACTCGCACGCTGCCTGATCGGGGTAGTCACTTGGGTAGTTGGGGCTCGAGATGGTCCCCCTCGAGTCTTTTTTCGAGAGTTGGATAACAGTGTGACAGTCCGTTATTTCCCAGCTGATGCTAATGTTATACCCGACGTCAGTGATGGAGGAATCGGTCACGAATTCGGTAGAGAACCGGAAGTTGGGTACGTTTTGATACCCCGTTTGGCTCCCACAGAACCTGGGGTGAAGGGGGGAGAGAGAAGGTCAGGTCAGAATACCATTGAACTGTTGAACTGCAAGAGAAATAGCCGAATTGACTTGATAGATAGATAGATATATAGATAGAAAAACTGATAGTTTAGATACTTAATAAGCTATTTGGTACTTCGGGCTTGCAAGAGGTATCAACAGAATACTTTAAAACTGTCTTGAATTTCAAGAGATGGGCTGATAGATAGATGGACAAATAGATATTACATTTACTTATCAAAAGGACAGCCTATATGACCTATGACCCATGACAAATAGGATACACACTCATCACAATCAGTGCCTGTCTGCTTTCCTACCTCATGGATCTGCTAAAATGATACACGCTCCTCATACTTATTCCATATCTAGTTTCCTACCTCATGGATCTGCTAAAAGGGTACACGCTCCCCATTACTTATTCCATGTCTATTTTCCTACCTCATGGATCTGTTAAAAGGACACACTCCTTATATCTATCCCATGTCTAGTTTCCTATCTCACGGACCTGCTAAAAGGACACACTCCTCTTATTAATTTCTGCCTTCCTACCTCATAAATCTGTTAAAAGGACACACGCTCCTCACACTTATCCCATGTCTGGCTCCCTACCTCATGGATCTACTATAAGGTATCGGAATGTCGACGTAGTCATGGCACAGTTCGTTTCTTCTCCGCGACTTGCCCTCCAGTTGGAAAGTATTAAACGTGTACTTTGCCATCAGTGGTCCGTCCTGGCCAATAGAGTATACGTTTTGAGCTTGAATTGTTTCTCGGGAAAGGAATGTTTTTTTTTTTTTCTATTTCTGAACTTTTATGATTGTTTTATAGGTCTTATATGATTCATATGAATATATTAATGGTAAAAGATAAAAGGCAAATACTCACGTAGTAGCCCACGATGCCACACTTGAAATCGTTTGGATAATCAGCAACACCAAAGTATGGGGAGGTCCAGTCTACTTTGTCGTCGAAACTGTAAAGTGTGCAACTTGCATTGTCATTGGTAGGGCCGGTAGTTGTTATTTCTGGAGCTGTCGTTGTAGGCTCTGGAGTTGTGGTAGTAGTTGTGGGTTCGGGAGTTGTGGTAGTAGTTGTGGGTTCGGGAGTTGTGGTAGTTGTAGGCTCTGGAGTTGTGGTAGTCGTTGTAGGCTCTGGAGTTGTGGTAGTAGTTGTGGGTTCGGGAGTTGTGGTAGTCGTTGTAGGCTCTGGAGTTGTGGTAGTAGTTGTGGGTTCGGGAGTTGTGGTAGTCGTTGTAGGCTCTGGAGTTGTGGTAGTCGTTGTAGGCTCTGGAGTTGTGGTAGTCGTTGTGGCTCGTTGTAGGCTCTGGAGTTG